TATAAGAATGTAATGGTTATATAATAATCATATAATGAAAGAGAATAAAATTTTTTCATTGAAATATCGCAAATTTTATTTTTGAAAATATATTTTGTTATTGAAAAATTTATTTATTTTTATTCTACTCTCATTTTAAATATGTGAAACTAAATTTTTATGAAAAATCATATTAAAAATTTAAAAACAAAGAAATTTTTTTATACAATCCTACATTTGTAATTTGACGACTCGTGGCATATATAATAAAATATTTGTATTACCCTACAACAAAGGTTTATATAACAATATTCTCAAATTTATTAATAAATTTTATAAAATTTAATAATAAATAGTATTATATTAGACTTTTTAGAATCCTAATATTTTTTTGCATATTTCAATTATTATTAATTATTACCGTGATAAACAAAGTCTCAGTTGTTCGATAATATAAATGAATAATTTAAACAAATTGAATTGTAAAATTGTAGGTAATATTTTATTAAAATAAAATTTGAATATAAAATCGTACATAAAAAGAATGTATTTACTACTACTTGCAAAGTGTCTGCGACTTATAAATGTATTGTTAAAAAAAGAATGCCTAAGCATCGGTCAATCAGATCTCTTGCGTTCTCTTTCATGTTCGTCACTTCTCGACAGTGCTGGTCTCTCAAACAGCCTATATATACCCGTTCACTCTTCCACTCCTCTCGAGCGACTCGACTAATCACAACCGATGCCGTTATTTCAGTCCCTACCACGAAGACCATGGTCATATCTACTGATAGAAGTAGAGAACCACGTGGAGGCATTGACACACTGACCTTGATACGTGTGAAACATTGAGGGAGAACTCGGCAGACCAATCACAGCGACAATCCGCTTTCCTACTTTGCTCCCGACATAGTAACCTCATTTCCTTCCTCTTCCTAGTTTCCCCACCTTGATCTCCGGTCTTTCTACACTTCTCCCACCCACGCAATATCATTCTATCTTTTCTCCGTCCATGAACCTCCATCTAGGTCATTAGCCTTCTCGTCTGACCGACAGAATAA